GCTGGGCCTGGGCCCCGCTGAGGCCCGCGCTCGCTGCTCCTGGCAGAAGCGCCGCTGCTGTCTCTGCTGCTCTCTAGGTGAGCAGGCACTGGGACTTGTGACGAGTCATCTGCCGGAGGATTGGCTGCTTTGTGCTTCTAGAATATACTGAACATGGCCCCTGGACTCACAAACTCTCGCCCGTTTGCCTGCGGAAATAGCGGTTCAGCCTGTGGTTGGTCGAGCATTTTATTATATGCTCAGCTGTGTTATTCAGCAGTTGTTATTACGCGGAGGTGTCTCATTTCAATGAAGTTCCTCTTTGGAGAGCTGCCGAACTAGTTTGTATAGGAAAGCTGAGTACGCTGAGGTAATGGTATATAATTGGTCTGAAATTTTCTGATGTCTTGAGAGAAGAATGGAACTTGAGGCGTGATAGTCCCGTTAGCAGGAAAATAAAGCTAATGAGCTTTTCCTAAGTAATCTGTTTCAAGTAGTGGCCATAAGTTATGCACAGTCCCAACATCTCGAGGTGCAATGAAAATAGCTTTTTACAACATACGAGGTTGTTAAAGCTCATAGAATATCTTGATTTGGGAGGGGTCCCTAAGCATAATCCAACTTGCTGCTCCTTGCAGGGCTACATAAAGTTCTGAATAGTTTTATTCTTTTGGTTCTCTGATGACTGCAGTTCTCAGCAAAAAATATTTATGTGTTTCATTCAGAATTGGTGAAAAATGGAACCAAAGCATCATTTTGTTAGGCAGGGTGGGTTGTGTGGGTAAAGGGGTAGTAGCTTTAAGAAAAAAAAAAAAAGAGTTGCTTCCTTCTGGCACTCCCTTTGCAAGAAACAATTGACAGGATACAAACCACCAGTACCATTGGTGTGGAACAGAGTCTCTGTTGTCTGGTCCCACGGAAGTAAAGCAGGAGATCACTGTCTGTGGTTAGAGGTTTGTGTCTACAAAATACCTTGAGTTCAGTTTTTACCAAGTTGCTGTGAGAGCACAGCCTCTCGGCTCGGTGTTTTCCCTTGGAAGAGCGATCCATTCACGTTCCATTCCCAGAGCCCTTCAGCTGTGGGCTGTTATTTCTAACCCTGTGTCCGCTGCTGGGGCTGCAGTGGTGTGCAGGAGCAGCAGTGCTGTGGTTTGCAGCCAGAGCTGCAGTGGTGTGCAGGAGCAGCAGTGCTGTGGTTTGCAGCCAGAGCTGCAGTGGTGTGCAGGAGCAGCAGTGCTGTGGTTTGCAGCCAGAGCTGCAGTGGTGTGCAGGAGCAGCAGCGCTGTGGTTTGCAGCCAGAGCGCATTCAGGGGCACCTGCAGGGCACACACTGCCTTGGCTCCGTGTCACTGAGCAGGGGGATGCCCTGGAGCCCTCCCTTCACATGGCTGTGCTCAGCAGGGAGGTGAGGGTGGCACTCCTGTCGGGAGAATATGCCTGACTAATCTGGAACAGCAAATGCACAGAGAATAGGTTTAATGATAGCACAGTGATGGGTTTAATGAGCTACTGCTGCTTCTTCAGGTGGACTCTGCCATTCGCTACCTTTGCTCTTAGTAATTCTTGGGTCAGAACACTTAGTAAGCAGTTGAAGAGTCCAGAGTTTGATTTGAAAAAGTTAATTAACTTCTCTTGGAAAAATTTACTGTTGTGAGATAATTTGTTTAGTCAGCTAAACAACTTTGAGACTGTAGTTAGTAAAGGTTAATGCTTAATCCTTGCTTTCCCCAAGATTTATAAGTGCCTGAAGTCAGGGATATATTTTAACATTTGCATTATTTTTTTTGCACCATAGCATAAAACACAGATGTAGGATGGAAGATGAAAGTAAGCACTGAAGATATTAATTTTTATTGCATTATTTATCAGTAAGGCTATAACATCAGAAGCATCACCTGTTACTTTTTGCAAAGGAAGCAGCTATACTGTAATGTATCTCCTCTATATGAAGTTATAGGTGAGTTTTGTCCCTACAGGGCAGTACAAATGTTCAAGTTAACCCACTTGCTAGGGAGAAACAGAATTTTTCTGCCTAAACACTCATCTTCTTGTATGTTGCACACTTGTCAGCTGAAAATGTCCTAGGAACTGCACAGAACTGGGTGCTTGATTTTCTAACTCCTGAGCATTGAGGTTTGCTTTCTCTGCCTTTTGCAGTAGACACTTTTGGTTCTGGAATGGCTGTTTTGTAGTAATTGCAATGTTGAGTGGTTCTGGTTGGAAGGAATCTTTGGAGGTCTCTCCCAAACTTCTGCTGAGAAACTCACTGCTTGCTAAATTCAGAAACTGGCTCTTGTGAACATGAGAAACTAGGTTTTTTAAAAATTTCAATTAAAAAAGCTTTTCTAGCCCAAAACAGGCCTTCTGAGTTTTGTAAACTGCCTGAATTTTGACAGTGGGCACTCCAGTTTTTATATTCTGCATGATTCTTAATGAAATGTGAAAGCTTAATTGTCTTTACTCTTTACTTGTTAAAAGAGGTTGTATTACCCTTCCTATGTAAAAATGCGCTCACAGGTTGGATTTTTTTGCCCACCTTACAAATTCCTTATTTTGTCTCTTTTGTGGAGGTTCGAGGAAGATCAGTGTTTGCTTACAGTGTGGGAGAATTGTTACCACTTCAGCAGTGCTGATCCAGGATTCTTTTGTCCCTTGTACGTCTGGTGGCAAAGAAGGATTCAGTTGGGTAATGCACAATTTCTGCTCTGCAGGAAAAACCTGCGCTCTATCAGAATTTCTAACCATTCTGAAATAATATTTAGTGTTGAGAATACAGGCTGCCTGTTTTTTATTGGTGAAAAGGCTCAATACCAATCGTGTTAATTTGTACCATTATTTGGGTAGACCAGAATGGTATATGTGGGAAGAAATTTGTTGAGAAATCATTCAAAGATCTAAAATAATGAAAGTGTTAGGCTGGCAAACACTGCTCCTGTCCTGGATGAAACTTGAGCAGAGGTGGAAAGAATTTGTTTTGCAAAGGGGATTAAATTTTTCATAAAGGCACTCCTTAACCTCCCCATGCAAATCCTGCAAGCAGCTATCATCTCCAAATAAGTTGGATTCATTTGCTTTTTTTAAATTCTCTGAAATATTTGGGCATTCCTTGTTTTTTGGTAATATGTTTTTTTTTTCTCCTGGATTTACATGCCTTTGCACTTCTCAATATTTGGCATGATTTTGCTCCTGCAACACGTTATAATTTGCAAAGATTTGTTCCTGCAGCTATGAAATGTGAATGGGATGGACCCAAGGCTTACAAAAAATTGTACTTTTGCCAGTGGAACAGCCACCCACCTGCTGCTATGTTTACCAGCTTAGCTTTTGTCTTTTTTTCCTTGGATTTTTCATCCTGACTTGCACTCAATAGCTTTTCTTCAGGCAGTATTTGCTGTCTGCTGATCGAATTTATGTGCTTGTGCTGATCTTGATCTTTCAATAACAAACTGTCATTTGGTTCAGAGTTCTGAACTTGTTGGAATATTTGTTAGTTTATTTAAGCAGACTGAGCGTGGGTTTGAAAGCATTGAAATAATTGCAAATGTTAGTGTCTGGGAAACAAAGTAAATAAACCAACTTTATTTTGTATCTCAGTGCTGTTAGCATTTTTCAAGCGAGATGTTTATTGCTCAGCTGGTTTTGGCACATCACCCCCTTCCTTCAGCAGTTGCCTCATGAAGAGGAAGGGCTGAATCCACAGAGAAGTGCTGATGGCTCCAAATGGAGAAGTGGTGAGTGAGGAGAAGAATAAGAAAAGCCAGAGCTGCAGCCTGGGCTGCATTACTGGTGTTTTGTGGAAAAGCTGCAATGTGAGGTGTGCCTTGAGCACAGTGCCACAGGACTGGATGTCCTTGAGGCTGGGTTGGTTCCTCCAGTCTGTTTCAGCTTCTGATGAGGTTTGCTGATCTCCATCCCTGTTTCTAAAGGTTTTTGTGGTGTCTGTGGGGCAGGAACTGTGGTGGTGTTTCATGCGAGTGGTGTGCCTGAGGTAATTCAGCTGTGCGTGGCAGAGGGTGCTTGGTGCTGGCTGAGGCTGTGATTGCAGGGAATCCATGTGTGTTTGGGCACACTTGGAGGGGGCCATGGCAAGGGAGATAACTTATGCTGCAGGCTTGGGATGGAAATTGTAGCATTGGAAAGGAATAGTCCAGGACAGCTCAGTTCTGCCCCTCCCTCCCCAGCCCCAGGCATTGCACATCAAAATCTTCTGGGGGAGGAACAGCGAATTCATTCTTTGGTTTAGAATAAGGTCTTAGGCTCCTTTCCTATTAGCTTTATAAACTGTTATTATTGTTTAAAAACCTGTAGCTCTTTTTGTCAGTACCACAAAATCTGCAAAGCCAATTAATCACTTTCAAAGTGTTAATTGGTTACCTGATGCTGACTGTTTTCAGGTAGAAGAATATTCTTCAGAAACAGGGTGAGAAATAAGTAACTCATTATTTTTTTTCCCCTGGTATTAAAAAAACTCCAAAAACAAACAAAAAGGCCCAAACCAAGTGAGATGGCATGGAGGATGTGGCTCCAGAGCCTGGAGAGTTCTGCAGGAGGCTGGTCATGTGGGAATTTACCCAAGGCAAGTTCCTGTTCGTCCTTCTTTTATGAACAGCTACAGAAAGGCAGCTACAGTAGCTACAGAGAGAGAAATAACTGGCCTTGTTCCAAACAATTCTGTTCTTGACCTGCATACCTGTGGATGTGCCTGTGTAGACTGTACTTTTCCAGAAAATAGATCAACTTGGATTTACAATACAAAGTTGAAGGTTTGTGAGCAATAAAGAAGCATGTTATTGAATTCTGTTCCTTTCTGGAGATCCTCAAGTCAGTCTGGGGCTCAGCAGCAGAATCTGGGGAATTCCTGCTGATTTAAGCTTCTGTTTCACATCACTGTTGTGTTTTTATGGCACTGCAGTACTGCTTCCTGAGTTCCTCCTCCTGTGGATGTCATAACTCAGTCTGGAAGGGAAAAGTCAGCCCTTCTGAGTCATAAGTACTTTCTACTTTGCCCCATGACACTTTTATTTCTGTCTGTTTGTTCTTGTTACATGTGATTGCAATTTCGATTTCATTCTTCTGAACGCTTGGAACAAAGGGGTTACAGAGGAGCTTTTCATGGAGCACCTGCTTATGAGATGGAAGCAGATGCATCATATGTCCTTTCAGGAATCTGGTAACCCAATAACAGTGCCTTTAGGGTAGGCTGTCTCTGAGGTGCTTCATGTGCTGCTTGTACCATGGGCTGCTCTCTGAGACTTGAGTAGCTTACGCTTATTTGTAGCTTTCTCACCTTAAGTCTGCATTTCATCCAAGAGTTTCTTTTTTCCTCGAAAGCCTTGGATTCAGGCTAGATCTGATTGTGAGCAGTATAAATATAATCTCCAGAAATGTTTCTGAGTTTAATTTTACCTTTGTATCAGCTCATGTGAAAATATGTGCTTATCACAGCTTAATACGTATCAGTAATTAACTTTTTGTGGATTGCAGCTGTGTCAGAACCTTGCTGCTGGAGGTTTTTTATGTGTTGCATGGTGTTCTAAACCTCTGTTATCTCTGTATTTTTTTTAATTTACTCCCAGAATTCTCTACTTTCATTGCATTTCTGTAGATTCTTCCATCCTCTTCCACGTGGCCTTGACACGTTGCTGATTATCTTATCAACATCATCACAGTCTGTTCTCTGCTTTTCATGCTCAACTGACACCTGGGCTATAGAACTCCTGTGTTGCTCTGCCTAATTTCAGATTCTTGTGGGCAAGGTCTTTTAAGCTGATTCTTTAAATGGTAAAGGTGTTCTGAATAAAAGAGTAAAGTGACTTTTGTTCTTTTACTGGTGGTGGCAAACACTAGATGTTTTCTTAGGATGGAATATGGAAATTGTCTACTTGGAATTATGTTATTAGAAAAGTAAGTGAAGCCTTCTGCCTTTTTCAACAGCAAGAGCTAAAGTGCTCCTGGGTGTAAATAATTATTTGTAGCAGCATGTTACAAATAGATGCTAATCAGTAGAGTTCCTAAATTAACAGTTGAGGGAGTCCAATTTCCTTGTTGCAGATTTCTTTTTATTGGTGCTAATGAAACTTCTTTTAAGGGGATAATAGACCTATGACAGAAGGTGTAATGTGCCCAGAAGTTTCTGTTCAACAGCATGACAGCTCAAATCCTTACTCTTTCTTTGCACCTGCACTATGAGCATTTTTTTTGTAGTAGCACTGTTTCTGATTACCTTAGAGCTGTGTCTTTTTCATAGTACCTTTTTTTCTTTAAAGTACATTTTGGAAGCTTTCATCTAAGTATGGCAAAGAGACTTTTTGACTTGAGCAGCTCAACATGAACCACTTCTGCAAAAAGTATGAAGTTCACTTAAAACAAATTAATTCTGGGTTTATGTTAAAAGGCACCTCCCTCCCCCCAGCCCATAACAGAGCCCCACCCAAACTGTCCAAGGTTCTGAAGAATGATGATGCCTGTAAGCCTGTTTGCTGTTGTTGGTGTGTTTTTAGCAGAAGCAGTTTTTCACTAAATACCATGGCTTAGAGTAGTGTGTGGCACACAGCAGATCTCTGCATTTGTCAGTATTTTTGTTCTGGGCCTGACTTAGGGCTTGAGGCAGAAGTCATATCAGAGGGTGCATGACTGGCCAAGAGTAAATAAGGAAATCAAACTGTTGTCATTCAACACTTGGTATTCTGATCCTGCTAAATTGGTTTCCTTTCTTCAGCTGGCTTTCTGACCTCACTGCTATTAACAATTAGAAAATGTTTGTTATCCAACTTGAAGCTACTTTTTGCTTGTTTTACTGTGAGGATGTTTTGTGGGAGGGTTGAATTAAGAGTTAGGGTTTTGAGGGCACAGAGTGGAAGAAGAGCCATGACTGTAAATACAAAACCCACCCCCCATTTATACTGAAGTGTTTTCTTCATGATACTCCTGTCTTTAAGATTTTATTTGCTAGTGCTCAGTGTAGTAAACGTGTGTTTGGGGAGCTAAGGGATAACTCAGCATTTCCTTTGTGCTTGTTGAGGATGCAGAATTGGGCTGCTCGCTGTACTGTGTGTGCTTTGCAGCTGTTCACTGATGGCATCACCAATAACTCAGTGCTCCCCTCCTCGCTGGGGATGCAGAGTTGGGTCACTCACTGTGATGTTTGTGCTTTGCAGCTGTTCACTGATGGGCTCACCAATAACTCAGCGCTCCCCTCCTCGCTGGGAATGCAGAGTTGGGTCACTCACTGTGTTGTTTGTGTGTGCTTTGCAGCTGTTCACCGATGGCATCACCAACAAGCTGATCGGCTGCTACGTGGGGGACACGCGGGACGATGTGGTGCTGGTGCGCATCTACGGGAACAAGACGGAGCTGCTGGTGGACAGGGACGAGGAGGTGAAGAGCTTCCGAGTGCTGCAGGCCCACGGCTGTGCCCCCCAGCTCTACTGCACCTTCAACAACGGCCTGTGCTACGAGTTCATGCAGGGAGAGGCCCTGGATCCCGAGCACGTCTGCAACCCTGACATCTTCAGGTGAGCTCCAAACTCTGTGAAATCTCAATTCATTTGTGTTTAGGGAGTTCTGCCTGGCCTGAAGCACTTGGAGTTTGAGCAGAAAATGTGCATTTCTGTAAGCCTGTGCTAAGCTGATGCTCACACTGCCTTAGTTCTGGTAGTTGAGTGCTGAGCAGTGATCCCTGCTGCCTCCACAGAACACTGTACTCGTTAAAGGTCTGGTTATTGTGTGACACTGGCACATCACCATTACAGAGGTCATTGAATGTGCTGGAGTTGTAGGGGGCTTGACTTAAAGTATTTCCAGCTGTTTCCAAGACATTTCTTTTGTGAATAGATACCAGAAAGTTCCACTGAGAAGTGATATTTTTAATCTGTTAGCAGTGAGCAGAAAGTGCTGATGATGTAAGATTTTATTTTTCATGTGTGTGCTGAAATGTATTTGCCTAAAAATAGCAGCTAATTTAAATCAATACTTGGAAAAATAAGCAGGAGGAGACTGTAAATGCAGGTGAAGTTTGTGTGCTGTAACTGAATTCCAACCCTTCCCTACACACAGGTAGTGATCCTAATGAATTCTGAGTCTTGAAATGTGCTGCCCTAAATAACATTAATTTAATTTTAATTTTAATTTTTTTTAGACTCATTGCTAGACAGCTTGCTAAAATCCATACTATTCATGCACACAATGGATGGATCCCTAAATCCAATTTGTGGCTGAAAATGGGGAAATACTTCTCTCTCATACCCACAGAATTTGCAGATGAGGAAGTAAATAAAAGGTGGGTATTTCATCATGTTTTTTCCAGACTTCACATTCCTTCTGCTGCAATTTGTGTTTGTATAATATCATCAGACTTTGTGTTGCTCAGAAGGTAGACATCAGCTTACAAATATTCTTCATGTGACTTTGAAATCATGGACTTGCTGCATTGTAATTAAAGAATGCTCTAGCAAAGTGTTTGTTCTTTTACAACATCAAATTGTTAAAAAACTGAGTGAACATGAATAGGTAAGTAGAAATGTAGAGAACAAAATGGCCATTGAAGTGTATACTGTGACTAGGCTAAAACTTAGTGCTGATTTCCTCAGTACAGATAGAAATGGTACCTAATGCTGTTGTGTGTTCTTCTTGGAGGAAGTACTGGAATGTGAACAAAAAGTGAATGAAATAATGCAGTAATTCTGTTAATCTTTGCACCTTTAAGATGTGTGGGAGTGTATTCATGTCCTGCTCCTGATTCTTGGGCTGCTGTTGTGTTTACAGCACAGATAATCTTCAGAAAATTGTTTTCTGGGAGGACAGAGAAAAACAAGTGTCGTAATTTGAGTGCTGTTGTGGCTTGGGCAAGAGTGCCCTGATTTGGGAGAGGGTCTGTTGGGCTGTTGGCAGGGAGAATGTAGAGACAAGGGCTTCATTACAAATGCTTGCTGTGGAACCCAGAGTGCTCAGTGTTAACTCTGTTTCCTTACACCTGGAAAGGTTCTTAAGGGACATTCCGAGTCCTCAAGTTCTTCAGGAGGAGATGGCCTGGATGAAGGAGAGACTGTCAAATTTAGGATCACCAGTGGTGCTCTGCCACAACGACCTGTTGTGTAAGAATATTATTTACAACAAGAAGAGAGGTAGGTGTGAGTAGTGAGGCCTTTGTGCTGTACTTGCTGCGCTGCATCAGTGGTGGTGTTTTACTCACTTGTTGGGGTGAGCTAGTGGGAGCTTTGGAGACCCAGTGTCATGGCAGTGATACCTGTGCTTAATTAGCTAATTCTCATCTGTATGCTACTGTATAGAGGAAGAAAATCAGTGTTCCTGCTTTTCTTTAATGACCTTGTGAATTTGTTAATCCCCAGCTTGCCTGTATGCCTGGGCTTCAAAGTGTTTAACTGAATGCTAATTCTCTTCTGGTTGTATAAAGCTTTTAGGAAGAAAACAAGATCATGCAGGTATAGAAAATAACATGGAAATGGTCTCCTGCAACATTTTGTCCTGGTGTGTGGTTGTGGGGAATACCCTTTGATAATGAAGTATCTTAGTGATATTAATTACTACATTGAGTAGCTCCATTTGTTTTCTGCATGAGGTACACAGACATCTTGAAAGATTCCTTTTGTAGATCCTTGCTTTGTTTAAACAGTTGTAGGCAGCACACATCTTGGCAAAAATGAATTACAGTTGTGTTTCTATTACTGTACATGTAACTCACAGTTCATGTTATTGAGAGCTGTTAAAGCTTCCATATAAACCCACAGCTTATTGATTTTAGTGGTTAGGGGCTCGGTTACTAAGGGAATCCATCAGGAATTAAACCTAACAAGGCAAACTTGTGAGGCTAAAATGGCCACTGTGCAGTAAAAATACACAATTTTCCTCCCATTTCAAATACCTGAGCTCAGCTGAATGTGACTAATCAGATTACAAGGCTTTCTCCTGAAATAAGGATGACGCATTCCTTCTAGTAGCTGCATATTTTTGTGCCAGCTGAGTAGGATTGTTGGTATGTAAGTTATGTGCCTTAACTCCTAAAGAACAGGAACAAAACCAGGCTGCTGCTGGTTCCAGTATGAAAACTGCTCTATGTGCTAAGACATTTCTGCATCATGTGTGAATTCTGCATCACCATGTGAACTGAGGGAATAAACTATATTGGTGATTTGTGTCCAAGTTTCCCTCTGAGTAATGCCCCTTTGAAGGGAATTGCTTTCAGTTATATATGTCTGTATGTGTATATGCACCCTAACAATGCTAGCAACATAGATTTTGAATTCTGTGAGTTCAGTACCAAGCTTGAGAGGTTTTACTGACTTTCAGTGATGGACTGGAGCTCTGCTTAAACAGAGAAAGGGGGGAAAGCATAAGAGCAGACTTGTGGTCTCACACACTTGGAGTTGTGATACTGTAGTACCAAAACGAAATCTCTTTTTACCATGTGGCTTTTTTTAGTGCTGGAATTACCTTAGGTTTTAGCATCCCAGAGCAGATCCACTGAGATAAAAGTAATTTTTGGAGTCACTTTTCATAGCAGATGCATGCAACAAAAACAAAAGGATCTGAGGAATTCCTTTAGAAACTTCCCAGTTGTGGTGGATAGGCTTGAAGCTCCTAATTGGAAAAACAAATGCAGAGTGCTTTTCTTTTTGTAAGCAGAAAGGGGGAGAAACAGTGCCAGCAGTGCATCCCTTGTGAGCAATGCTGCAGTAAAAAGTGTGTGAGTGTTCAGGGTTTGGAGACTGGGTGGGGAGAGGGAGGTTTGTAAGTACTGAGGCTTCGAGCAAGCTGTAAACAGCTGAGGAAACACTTGGAAATGTGAAGTAAATATATTATTGAACTTATGTTTGAGCACTGTGCGTGTGCTGTGTTGTGAAACTTGTGCAATCTGGGTACAGCAGGGACCACTCTCATAGTAACCAATCCTCAGTGCCATCTGTAGAAAGGATGGTTGTCATTTGGAAGCTGTTTTTTATGGCACACTTTTTACAGAGCATCAGCAGGAAGCTCAGCTTTAACTGTAAAGAAACGTGTATAACTGGAATTGTGGTTAGCAGAGCAAAAGCTTTCCTTGGTATAAAAGAAAATTGTCAAAGAGCACAACGTGTAATCTTTTCAAAGATGAGCTGCACTAGGCATGGCATCAAATTGTCTGAAGGTAGTTAACATTTTTGGTGAATGCAATACTCTTACTAAATTCACTCTTCCATCTAGAAAAGCCTCTGTGTGTCCAAAAGACCTTGGTGACTCTAAACTGTAAACAAAAGAAAATGGATTTTCTAGATTAACTACCGTATTTTTTCTTTATTACTCACTAAAATCTGCAAAACTGGTAGTATTGTCTGGCTTTTCAGAAGCTGTCACAAAGGAAACATAATTTATTTGTTTTAGTAGTACTGTACTTACAATTTTTTTGAATGCTTAGTTTGCACATTTACTGGTTGGAGGGATGTATGGGGATGTGTTTAAGCTACAGACTATCAGGATGTACTGGGACTTGTGTCCAATGCAGTGTGAATAATTTTGGCTTGTACCTGAGCTTTGCCTTAGCCTTGTCCTCTGCATTAAATTCACATCAAGTTTACAGAGTTGCAAGACAAATCCTAGTCATACCACATACTGCTTCTAAGGAAAATCAGTCTCCTGTCCTTATTTATGAGCCTGGAAGAGCATGTTGAGTGTTAGCTTCCTTTAATGGAGCCTCACTCATCTGATTTGAATTTGTTCCTGCTGTGGCTGAGAGAACTCTGCCCCTTGCTGTTTTGCTAATGTCCATTCTCAGTCACTCAGGATATGGAAATCTGCAAGTGGTACTTTACATAACTTATAATTATCACTGTCATCTACCCCTTGAAGGATATAGTTCAGCACTTCACATTGCTTTTATTGCAGTTTTGACATCAGGAATATTCAAAATATGCTTGAATCTTGGTGCTGCTTATTTATAGACCTTGTGTTCTGATGCTTCTAAATTTGTTTGGTTTTTGTGGTTGTGGGTTTTTTTTTTCCCCAGCGTGACCTGGGAATTTCCAAAAATACCTGATATTTTAAGAGTATTCAGACACTTGCTGTTCAACAAGATCCAGCATCAGAGGTTTTTCTGTTTCTGTGTGCTCTTTTTGCACATATGAAAATCAGCTGGCAGGGAGATGTTTGTAGGTAGATGGATAGTTTTGTTCTGTTTATTCCCTCTGCCCACCCAATGTTTTCTGTGATCCTTGGTAGGAGTGTGTGGGTGCTCAGTGCTTCTGAAGATGGAGGCTTCTGCTTTTGATCTAAAAATCTGTTTTGTTTTGCAGAGCTCTTTTGGGCATTTACAGCTAAAATTATCCTTTGGGTGGGTGAGCTGTTTGTGAGTTTCCCAGCGTGTTCCTAGCCCAGATCCTTGACTTTGAGCTGTTTTCCAGGGGCTCAGTGAGCAGGATGGGACCCAGCTCAGGGTACATCCCTCAGCTTGGCAGGGAAATGCTTTCCCTGTGGAACCATGGAAAGGAAAAGCAGCTGGCACGGGAGGTGTCCTACCTGTCAGATCCCTGAGGAGATCCAGAGGTGCTTTCTTGGTTCCTGCTTGGTCTATGTAAAAGTGCATTTCTGGGATACGGAATCCAGTGAATTCTGCATCTCCCTGTGGGTTTTGTGGGGCGTGTTGCATGTTTTTGCAGGAGATGCCTGCAAAAAGGAAATGGGCTTCAGCTTGAAATATTCCCCTCTCTTGACATGCCTGTTTCTGTCAATAGCAGTCGCTTCTCCAGAGAGCTTGTTTACAAGTTTTCTCATTTCAGTAAAGCACAAAGACACTTAGACCAGTGTCTCTTGCTCTCAGGAATATTGACGGGATGTACAATTTGTACATCTTTTGGAAACCTTGAAACAGCTGCTAAGCCAGTAATGTAAGCCAGGGCTTTTAGAAGTGGCTTTCTCCTATGAACTGCAGTAAATCTTTAAAAACACATTGATTATTTAAACAATGGCTGCTAACTTTCTTCTGCTTTTCCTAAAGCAGAGCAGATGTATGTGTGTGTATGTACTTATATGTATAAGTACATCTATAGTGCACATTTTTGAAGCAGCAAATGTCAAAGTTTTTGCTTTCGGTTTTACAGAAAAAACTGTGCAGATTTATTTTGAGCCATTGTGCATAAATTAATTTAAAAGGTTGAGCTGCACAGTAGGAGGAGTCTGAAATGGATCAGTGCAAATGCAAAGCTTTTTTGCTTTGAACTTCTGTCTTGTCAAATGGGAGTTTTCCAGGTTTTCTCCATCTGCTGCCCAAGGGCTGGGCTTGTCCTTGTTCCTCCTTTGTGAGGGCACAGCCTGGTAACAGCCCCACCCATACCTTGTCAGCTTCAATTTCTGCTTCTGTGGAATATTCTTTATATCTGGAAGTAAGTTGTTTAAATGTAATTAAAAATTCATGATGGCACCTAGGGATGTTCTAGGTGAAATCTGCTAATGAAAAATTGAAAGTATTTATGTCCATATTTTACTAGCAAGTGTTCACCTGCTGTGTTTGGATTTTAGGTGAGGAAGGAAGAAAACAAACTTCTCAATACAAGTGCTATTAAATGTCTGGGGGGCAGAAGGGGCTCAGGAGATAACCTGTGTAGCAGGACATTAGCCAGGGTTGGGATTTTAACTGGCTTTGCAAGAAACTTCTAACACACTTCTTCTGTGCTAACTTGGTCAGGACGTTGGTGAAACTATTTTACTTGAGGTGTACAATATTCCTGAATCTTACGGAGGGAGTGTAGTAGGCACTTAAAATCCTTAGTCTAGGAAATACATACATAATGTGCTTAATTTCAACATTGTTCAAGATTTTCTTTTTAGCCTAGAGTTTTAAGTCACATTAAAAGAGTGTTCATTATAATAGAATGAGTGCTTTGTTGATTAAATAATGCAGGTAGTGATAACAAAAAGAGTATAGAGAAGGGAGAAGGGTGTGATAGTGAAAATTACATATTTCAGTGTAGCAGTGAGAAATCTAAGCAGTGAGAAATCTAAGGTTTTACTTTTTAATGTTCTAGTGCAAACAGATCTTATGTTAACCCACTGCTTAATTACCTGTTTTTTTAGTATTTTTGTTGGTTTCCCTCATAATACAAGAGCTCTAGTTTTACCTGATCAATCTCATTTACATTTTGACTGTTCCGTGTGCTGTGGGCACTCTTGAGCAGCTTCAGTGCGTTTTCCCCAGCTTCAGTGCAGGTGAACAGAATTTGGAAACATTTGGGGCTGTGTTTGCTGCTTGATCAGCCCTTGTTTGCACAATGCTGCATAGTTTGGTACCTTTGGCAACCTCAGTCTGATGGTTTGTGGGGCTGGTTGAATCCAGCCTAAAAAAAGCAAGTTTGGAGTAATCTTGCTTTGTAGGAGTGGAGAGGAAACAGGAGGCATCAGTGTGTTGCAATGTGCTAGTGCACTGTGGCTGCACAGTTGTGTGATGAACAAACAGGGCTGTTACTTGGTAGTCAGGGAGAAATTGATCTGCTATTTCTACATAAAGTTTAAAGAAAGAATGTGCTCCAGTACTTCTCATTTTGAGAGTGAGGGAGGCCCTCATGTGGTAGAATTTAAAATTGAAATTCTCCTACTCAGACTCGAGGCATAGAGAATTGTGAGCTCTAAATTTAAGAGCTGTGCTGAATGAATGTTTACCTTTAAATATCTCATATTGTGGAAGTCACAGCCTTACCCTGAAATGTCTGAGTGCACACAACCAGGTACAAATGGGTTTGTGGTTTGTTTTCCCCAAAACTCTTCAAAGGACACCAGAGGATCAGGGCTGGTGCTTGATTTGATGTGTTGTCTGATGTTGCTGCTGTGGTCTCTCACACAGGTGATGTGCAGTTCATAGACTATGAGTACTCTGGCTACAACTACCTGGCTTATGACATTGGAAATCACTTCAATGAGTTTGCAGGTGAGAATTGGTTTCTGAGGTGAGAGTTGGCTGGTTTTACTAAAAACCCCAGTAACCTCGTTCCTGTTTTTGTTTGTGTATCTGGTTGCATGCTTACAGCTGTCAGCCCAGGACGTGTGGCTGTGTCATTGTGCAGAGCAGCTGTGCCCTTCCCTTGCAGGTGTTGTAAGCCAGGGCTGGAAGCATCACATCCTGTGTTCTGATAGTTAGATGAGTTCAGAGCCCACAGCTTCCACCCTGTCCTGCTGTGGGGTGGGTGTTGTAAGCCAGGGCTGGAAGCATCACATCCCGTGTTCTGATGGTTAGATGAGTTCAGAGCCCACAGCTTCCACCCTGTCCTGCTGTGGGGTGGCCCAGCAGACAGCCCGCTGTGCTGAGATGCTGTGGCTGTCACTCTAGAGGTGACAGTGTCCTGTGGGATTGCACAGTGCCAAAGGCAGGATGCTGTGTTTGGGCGTGGATTTCAGTGTGTGCACCAACTACTGGCCCTGTCCCAAAACAAGAAGTAAAGGCTCAGACTGTGTCATAGGGAAAAGGTGGGGTTTTAGCAATATGGTGCTTTTAGAGTAATTTATTACCTAGTTCAAATTTTTCACAGCAAGTGCCCCTTCATTCCCCTTACTCCGTAAGGGAGAAATGACCCCGTGTGTGTGCTGTACTATTTCAGAGCATGGGGCAGCAGGGAAAACCTGCATAATGATCAGAGCAGATGGAAAGCACACCCTGGTGAAATGAAGAGCCCTAATCTACCAATTGCTTCAAAACAATGTTCAGTTTAGATAACTTTAAAAAAAAGAAAAAAATCAGAGTGTGTGCTTGGTAATTTGACTTGTATAGTTGGTAATTTAAAGATTTGGAAAGCAAGTTAAATTAATGAGAATTCCTGAATTCCCTGAGAGTGATAGTGGAAGGAAAATGTGATCCAGGCTTGGGGCTCCTGGCAGACTCCCTACAGCCTGTGACTAAGCACCTCCAGTATAGGAAGAAAAATAGGATAGAAATTATTTACAGGCTCCTAATCCTACCGGCGCCCTGTGGAGGAGAGAGGCAGAATCACAGGAAGTTTTCTTCAGATGTGGGCTCAGTGATAACTGGGGATGCATCTGGATTTGGCTTGGGATGTTGTGGCATACAAGTCTCTTTTCCTACAAGATGTGTCATATTTGATCTATTTGTGAAGGGTTTTGTTTCATAAAGCAAATACTTTTTCTGAAGCTTTTTCTCAAAGTCCAAAGTGTTGAATCCCAACATACAGGCAGACTCTCTCTGGCTGAAAGCATAAATTTTTAATGTGGAACACTCTGATTTGTATGTGGGACATTCTTGGCAGCATGTAATTGAAGGTGAGATTAAGTGAAAATGTGGTTGTTTGTTCACATCAGTCTGTGCCTGTGTGTTGGGTGGGAAGGGGCACAGAAATGAGACTACTAGTGGTAGTACTAATGGTACTGCTAAGGGTTTCTCATGGTCTTTGTATGCAACATAAGGTTCTGATAGTGTTGTCTTTTCCTAGGAGTAAATGAGGTAGACTACAGCCTTTATCCCAACAGAAAATTACAGGAGCAGTGGCTGAGATCTTACCTGGAGGCCTACAAAGAATACAAAGGATTTGGCACGGAAGTCAGTGAAAAAGAAGTTGAAGTTCTGTATGTCCAAGTCAATCAGTTTGCACTGGTGAGTAACAAACACTTGATTAGAATATTTTAAATGAGGCAGAGCAACCTGACATTCTTTGAAGAAATGTAGTTGCTATTTTCTTGAATTTGAATGTACTGACATGTAAAGAAAACTTCCATGAGAAATAAAGCTTTGCTCTTCTATGGAAACTTGCTTCTCTGTTGCCTATTAAATATTCTCTGTAGAATATTCCTGGTGAAGGAAGCACTGCACATTCAGAAAATGAGAGATGAGCTTTGAGTGAGGATTTCTGTTGGCCTGGCAAGTTTAAGTTGGCCACAGCTTATGGGGGGTCTTTGAATTTTTGTAGTGGTGACAAGGCAGAAGAACACGGTAGTGCTTCATGAAGACATACAAGCTTAAAAAGCTTTTTAAAAGCTAAGATGATAACGTTCTGTTAAAGTAGAATATATGGATTTAATTCATTTTGTCTTTTGCAGATAAGTAGGTCACTCTAGAATCTTGCTGATCTTGTTTTGCCTAGATGCCGTGACAGGAAATGTTTCAGCCAAAGCGCTTTTATGTTTTCTCTTCTGAGGATAACATTTGTAGAAGGAGTAAGGCTCAAGCAGCCACTTTGGCCTTATTTTAGTCCTCTTTCCTACTGATTCAAGCACTCCTCTGTTACTGTAATTCCCTGAGTTTTCTGGCACAAGCCCCTGGCTGCAGTGAGGAACAGGAGTTCACAGGAAGCTGATTATTAAACCCGCTTTAAAACCAATGGCTTGTGTGCTGCTGTTCTTTTACAATGTTGGTTGTTACTGTCCAGTTCAGCTGGCCCATTCATTTAGGACACTTGGAGCTGCAGTTTAGCAGGCTGGGGGCCTGTTTGAAAATAAATAGCACTCTTTGGTCTGTTTCTAACAGTGGCCATAGTCACGTTTAAGGGGATGGAGTTGTGTTTAGAGAGCAGGTCAGGGCTTGCCTGTAGAACACCTGTGCACAAACACCCTGACTGCTGTGTCAGGTCATGTGGGGAGCTTTGCTAAGGGAAAACTTGACACAAGTTCATGGATGTTGGTGTAGAGTGATGAACTGCAGCTCTCTGGCCAAGCTGTCTGAACCAGAGGTACAGGACTCACTTGGGCACAGGTCAGTTGCTGTTTTGAGGTGTTTTCAGCTGTGTCCCTGCATGGCTGCTAAATTCCTGGCCAAGTGTTCCTTGCAAGCCTCAGGAAGCCATTTAGGTTATTAGTATGAGCAGTTCATCTGCTGAAGCTCAAGGTCTGTCCACAAGTGTCTTCCACAGGACACTGCCGAGCTTATGGCCATCACATGTTCATTCTGAGGTGTGTTAACACCATGTCATTAACATGATCCATACTTTCAATGTGAAAGTGAGCAGAGGCCTCCAGGCTGCTTCTCTGGACTCCTAATGCAAGTAATTCTGGACCAGATGAGAAATTTGTGTAAATGCTGATGAAATAGAGCTTTTCTTAAAGCATTACATCTCTCTTTGTCCAAGCCAGCAGAGAAAGCGAGTGTAATTGTACAGGTCTAAGGGTGTAATTGACAATTCATAAGGCATTTCCTGTTTGCACTGGGGTTCAATACATGTGGAGTAATAGAAATTTACAGCAGTAGAGGTGGTGGTTACATTTCTGTGCATTTTTTAGCATGGTGTAATATAGTCATACAACCATGTTAATAGGTGACATAGTTTATAAATGGAACACTGTTTCTCTTGACAAACAGCAATCAGTTGGATTTCCTTGTCTGCTTGTGAGTAATTTATTCTCTAATACTGCTTATAAATCTCTTTGGTAAAGAGAGATTAAATGACTTGACGAAAAGATTGGGGTTTGAGTGTTCTCTTATAGATGAAGTTTTGTCTCTGTGAGAATGTTAATGTGTTAGATTTAAGATAAGATTAATTTTTGCTGCTATTGTTTTTTTTTCTTTCAGGCTTCACACTTCTTTTGGGGACTGTGGGCTCTAATTCAAGCCAAATATTCCACCATTGATTTTGATTTTCTAGGGTAAGTGTGCTTGCTGTGTACAATCATGGAATACTAGAGGGTGGAAGGGACTTGTGGGGCCATTTATTCCAACACCCCAGCTGTCAGAAACTGAGATCAGAGCAACACCCCTGACCTTGTGACCATACGGTAAAACTCTTCATTTGTAAGGGAGAGCAAGGCAGCAAAACCTGTCTGTCAGCGTTTTCTGTTGCTGAGAGTTCTCTAAATTATGTGCCCTGGGCTAAAGCACGTGGTTTACAAGGCAAGGAACATAATGCTTTTGGGAATCAAGTGTTTTTTGCTGGGGAGACAAAGGCATGAATGCCAGGGTGGTCAGTAAGGTGTGCTGTCGGGTGCCAGACCTACATTTCCAACAGTGAGAGTCAAGGGTATAGTGCAAAAGAGCTTGATTACTTATTGCATGATCTGTGTCTCTGGCCTCTTTAAAATGGCAACAAGCAGAGGAATTAATTTCTCCATTGGGGACCGAGCCAGGTGATAGGGTTCATCGTTTTACCTGGCAGGAGGTCCCCCCTGGGGTTTTCTGGGCTGGATAATGTCAATTTTGTGGGTAGGGCCGACGTGGGCCCCGACTGGCTGCAGTACCCGGCAGTGACCGCTGGAGGGCGGGAGAACACCGGCGATAACCCAAACACTTGGGAGATTGGGAGATCCTGTGTTTTCATCGGGATCCAAAATTCCTGCGGCACTGCACCTGGGGACAGCCCCGAACACGTGTCAGCTTTGGCACCTCTGTGTGACCATGGGGATCCAAATTCCTGTGGCACTGCACCTGGGGACAGCCCCGAACACGTGTCAGCTTTGGCACCTCTGTGTGACCATGGGGATCCAAAATTCCTGTGGCACTGCACCTGGGGACAGCCCCGAACACGTGTCAGCTTTGGCACCTCTGTGTAATCATGGGGATCCAGTTCCTGTGGCACTGCACCTGGGGACAGCCCCGAACACGTGTCAGCTTTGGCACCTCTGTGTGACCATGGGGATCCAAATTCCTGTGGCACTGCACCTGGGGACAGCCCCGAGCACGTGTCAGCTTTGGCACCTCTGTGTGACCCTCGGGATCCAAAATTCCTGTGGCACTGCACCTGGGGACAGTCCTTTAACAACAGTCAAACACTAAACCTCTACCCTTGGTAATCCTGGAGCTGCATCTCTTTTGCAGGCTGGGACTGGGGGGTGGTAGAGAAGAATATATTCTATGGAATGTATTCTATAATATCATTGCTCCGTTCCTAATTTCTTCCTTTGGCAGCTGCTAAGAGTCAATTTTCTAAACAGGGTGCTGGGTGAGTGGAATTTTGACTAGTCCTGCTTAGCATGGCTGTTGTCATTGAAGAGTTAGCTGTTCCTAACCTGGAGTGTCTCTCTCCCTTTGACCAGGTATGCAATTGTTCGGTTTAACCAGTATTTCAAAATGAAACTGGAGGTCATGGCGTTAACTCTTCCTGAGTAACGAAGAGGAGGACTCTTACCAAGTGGATAGACAACCCCTGAATCTTTTCTCAGAACAGATACTGGAAAAAAGCTAAACATTTGTTGAAGTGCTGTAATGCTCACTTGGTGGTTCTTGCTTTATAAATAATGCCTCTAGACAGTCCTTCAATGTTAAATTTATTATGAAGAACATACGTACTGCTGTTGATATAAAACGGATTAGAAACTTGCTAAATCTATCAAAATTTGTAGAAATGGCAATTTCATCCTTCTTTGTAATTTAACATATGTTGTATGTGAATTATTTATTATACGTTTAACATGATTCCATTGCTGCTTTCATCGGTTTGTGTTAAAGTTGGGTGCAGACAGTGAAGTTGTTCCAAAGGATTTAACAACTTATTGAAGTTGCGTTCACTTATGCAGAAGAAGACATGTCAGAGACATTTGTTCTTTTAGAGGCCTGTGAGCAAAAGGAGTGACATAGACTTGTGATATCTCTAGTGTGGTGTAGCTGCAGAGAAAGGTTAGGATGATCTTTATTTCCCCCCTTTTTTTTAAAGGTAGCTTTCCATAGGATGGTACTTTTCTTTTGCACAAGAATCAAGCAGCTTGTTGAAATGATAAATAACATTTTGATTTTTTTTTTTGGTCTGGATTGGGCTGTAGAAATGTTGAAGTTCTGTGGCCACAAGGTTCTCTGAGGATATTGTACCCGCCGCTGGTGTTGGGCGGACAGCCTGCCCAGCTTCTGGGAAAGCTGCTTGTTTATTACATGTACTCTTAGTGCAAAGCACCACTATTGCAAATCTCTCCTCCTTTTTGCAACCTGGTCCCGGATGTGAACTCTGCTGTCTGTGTGTGTCGTGCTGCAGTGGCAGAACGGACTGTTGGAGCCGAGACAGGAGAGCAGAGCTCCCGGTGAGCCAGGTTCACGGCTCCTGTACCGATGACAGCCTTCTGCTTTGTCCCTTCTCACCTTGGACTCCTAAGTCTTAACTGCCTGGCCCGTACTTGTGCAAATTCTGGTATGTCTGGTGGTTCTTTTTTGTTTTCTGTCAGCAAATTGCTTTTGAAAGCCTCCAGTGTGAAGGACATTATGGGGAAGCGTATGACTTTGGCAGTGAGGCTTTGATCATCTCACACGTTTTATTTCTTAAAGCTATTATACCAAGAATGGTCTGGATTACAAAATGCTAACTGAAAAGAAAATGTTTACCTAACAATGCATAAGTTTGTGTGGAAAAGAGGCTTTAACTGTGCAAGGGAGGGTGGGGCTGGGGGAAGGAGCCCACAGCAGGAAGCTCAAGCCCAGCCAGCGGTTTGGGGCTAGGCAGACTCTGATACTCTGAAAACTTTGCACTTTGGTCACATAAGTGCCCACGTGTACAAAGTCTGGCGTGTGCTCGAGCACATGCAAACACAAACTTAGCTGGGGAGTCTGTTGTACAGACTCCAGCAAAGATATTTATTCAGAATTGCTTTATGGCACATGGCAGTGTGTGTACGTGTGTATAGCACGCACACGCCTGCATACACGTGTGCTTTACAGAAGCTTGGAGTGAGGCAGGACAGAGACAACTCATGTGAATGAAAAATCTTCACCAATAAAGACCATTTCCAATGGTATCCTGTTGTTTTACAAAAGCACCGTTTAGGATTTTTTTCCTCTTGTATTAATCTATGAATGTTTTCATTTTATTTTTATTCAGTCAAAACCTTAAAAATCTTTATACAAATGGGAGAGCTGGGAGTTTTTTTGTAACTTGAAGTGAGGTAACGGTTTTCATTAGCTGGAGGCTACTATACTGGACAAACTCTCTTTGATTTGAAACAAATAGCTTAAATAGACATTTATCTTTTACTTTGTAGCAGTTATCAAGGATGTTGCTAGAGCTCATGAAGGCACTGAAGTCCTTAATCTTCTGTACTTTTTCTCCCTATGGACTTTACTGACATTTGATGAATAATACCCTGCTGTCTTGTATTTCCTTTAAGTTCAGCAAGATGTCCCTGGAACTAAGATTGCTAAAGATTTTTGAACTCTGTAACTATTTTCTTCCAAGCAATGGCTTTATTTCTGACAATGTTGCTTTGTATTTATGAAATACTTTGAAAGAAGGCTGTGAAGTTCATTTGGTCTTGGGAAATCCAACAGCTGACAGGTCCTAAGTTTCCCAATGGCAGAACACATTCCCTTTTCAGGTACCAGTACTACTTAGGTTTGGAGTTACTGTAGTTTTTGTCAGTAGTATTGTGTTTGTACAGCTCGAGTAGCAATAACTGCAGGAGTGGAAGTTTGCTTCCGCAGAACCAAAGCTTTTCCTGAGTGCAGCTCAGTCTGTCCCTGTGGAGGGAGCCTGTGAAAGCACTTTGAGGCAGGTAGCAAACAGTGCCAGCCCTTGCTGAGCCGCTTTGAAGGAGCACAAGGACCGTCCCAGCTTGCAGTGCTGGTCAAGGCTTTCAGCCTGCACGTGTGCATTCACTTGTGCACTGCTCTGCATCAGCTGTCCCTCCAGAGCAGTGCAGCTTACAGCCATTGGTGACAGCTCTGAGGAAATGCTGTGAAGCGTCTCCCCAAATGCAATGCCCGTTGCCTTGAGCCTTGTTCCACATCCCTTTGAGCCAGTGGCACTCGGATCTCCTCCTTTCCTGGGGAGTATCTGCAGATGCATTCAGTTGGAAGCAGTAATTTGCATTGCAGATGGTAAGGTAGCTTGAAACTGTGAATACAGGACATTCTGAATGTAAGTTAGGTACTAGAAAACATGTACTTGTTCACTTGATTTATCTGGGTCTCTGTAGTAGCAACATGAAATACTGGAAGGAGGACACAAAATGACTGAGCTCTAGAAACATCCTGTAGTAGTTTTGACTGTGACTTGCCAAGAAGATACTCTGTTGCCTTCGTTAAGCTAAGAGCATGAATGCCAAAATTAATAATTCTTGCTGTAGTTAGAGCTATATTGTAAATATGAAGAGGATCATTAATCTGGGCATTCTTGCAGAAATAGCATCAAGTCAATAGACTGTAGTGGCCTGGTTGCTTTTGTAAAGCAGAATAGTGTGATTTTTTTTCCTTCTCATTTCTGCAGTCAGATCTGGCTAATCCAGACCTAATTTCTTAGGTCACTCAAGCACTAAAGCTTTCTGAACGGTCACTAGTCTCCTGTCACATAATGTTAAATCCCTTCATTGCCACTTGTTGATTTGCTTTTTAAAAGGATGTGAAGTTTGCATTGACCAGGTCTGACTGTAATGTATATACAACAGTGTAAATAACCATTTGTAAATTAGTGTGAATTGTACTCTATCTTGCATTTATGGACTTGTGTATTGCATTGTATTCTCTCCTATTTTGTAGAAATCTTGTTGTAAAGAAGAAATCTAACTCTGTGTGCGGACTTCTTTTGTTAAATTGATTTATAATGCAGCATAATACTTTCATGTTAAGATATCCATTTATAGCCTTGGACACCCAGTGTCTTTTCCCCCCCATTAGCTTTTTTGAAATCTTGCTCTTGGGAATGAAGAGATCTGTACAGTACTTAGATGAAGAGAAAATCTGTTCTAATAACAGGGCAAACCATGTGTCAAGAGGTGTCTGCAGTACCAGTGGGACAGGGAAAGCTGTTAAAATTGTTTCTTTAAACCTCCAAACATTTTTTATACATTACTGAATGCTGTTGACTTGTAAACTGGGGGTTGGATTGAAGCACTCCTGAGGTGTGCTCCCATGGGGAGCTGTTTGAGGTAGCTGTGATAGAGGCCCTCCAGTGCTTCTGGTGGGTGTGACCTTCTAATAGGATTAGTTACTAACTTGTCAATGCTTGTACTGAATGCCCAAATCACTCATAGAGTTCTGTGAATTAATTTACCTCAACATTAGAACTGTTGGTACCCCTTCAGAGTATTTAAAACTTATAGCTGAGATATTTTCCCTGTGTGTGATTCCTTTCCCCTTCCTTCTTGTGCCCCCAGTCCTACTTCTTTTAGCATAAACATGAATCTAAAATCTTCCTTTCCATATTTGGCTTATCACTATTTCCTTTTGGACTAAAATTACATTCTGCTTTGTCAGTGCATGACTTCTGACCCCATCAGAATTATTTTTTGTGTAAGAAGTCCCTTTCTGAAGAGGCCTTTAACCTTGGAAACACAGACATAACAAAGGTTAGTTTTTCCCCTGACTGTGTTTCATCACTGTTGCCTTTCACTGTCTGGTATGAACTCTTAGTTTCTTCTTCTCACTGGTGTGTGGAATACCTCAGCTGGAGAACTCTGGTTTGCAAATCTTGCTCTCCATCTGACAAATCGACCTTGGTGCAGTTGGTGCAACCTGTCAGCCTTACCTGTGGTGACACTTGAGGTTACAAAGGTCCTGGGAAGTGAGTTTATCCAAGGAGTGCTAGTCAAGAGGAGGGATGGGCTTGATAAATGTGAGTAAAAGGAAATCACTCACTTGCAATCTCAAGATTTTGCTGTAGCAAGGTGTTGAATATTCTTGTTTACTACTCTCATGGTTTAAGGACAAGAGTAAATTACAAAGGGTGAAGTTTGTTTCAGAATGAAGCTCAGATTTTTTAAAGCCTTTGATAAGTAACAGAAGATTTCAAATACTCTTTTGTTACTCATACCAAAAGAAGTGTTAGAATTGGGTACCTTTCTGCTGAAATGAAGCTTTGTTCCAAACCGCAGCGACGCTGCAGTGTCTGCTTCAGGTGCTTGCGTGTTCTTGTTTTCATGGTTTTTGTTATTTGTTGTGTGTTAAGATCGCTGAGCTGCTGCACTTGGCAGCCATCTCCTGTCATCTTGCCCACCCAGCAGGCTGTAGTCATGGCAGTGGAGCAGAAAGGGTTTTTCAGGCCTGGAGGGAATGCCAGGTGATGTGGAGCAGTCTTGCAGATGATTTCTCCTCGCTCTTTATGACTGAGTGCAAACACTGATGGTTTTCAATGGCTGTGGAAGGCAGGAGGAACCAAGCCCTTGGGCCTGTGCAGGGTAGATGTTCTGTTAACCAGACACAGGGGCTTTGGGAAAGGGGCTCTCAGCAGTGGGAAATCACACCACTGCAGGTGCAATGGGTTGGCTCAAACCAGGCTTTGTGGCTTAGAGACCCTCAGTGGGAAGGCAGATGTGTGAAATGTTTGCACAGGCTGGCTGTAAGGAGGTGCTCCATCCCAGTGAAGTGCTGAGACACTGGATAAGGCATTGCTTCATTTTAAAATGGTTTTCTTTTTAAGTGACTTTTACAGTTGGTCTGGTCTGTAGAGATTATGTAATTAGGAAACCAGTCAACCTGTGGAGAGAGGGAAGAGACTGTTCCAAAAATCATTTATACAAAAGGAAGCACCTTTGTAGCAGATCAGTTTGCAATTCATTGTGGTTTGGGCTTTTCTGTGTATTTAATAATGTGGATGGTGCTCTGCATGGGATTCTATCATAAAGGGTTTTATTACTACTGGGAAATGTCAGAAAACTGACTGGCATGGCCCTGGAGACCACTGGGACCTTAGATGGCCAGACTTGACCAGATGACCAAGGTTTTGGTTCAAGGTTTCACACTCTGATCTGCAGCCCTCTGAAGCTGTCAAGCTGCTATCACAGTTCCCTCTGCTGTGAGTTTAGATCATGGACTCCCCCATGTCTTTGGTTTGGTGTTTGTAGAGAGGGAAACTTCATGGGAATTGAAAGGAAAACAAATTACTTGAAATCTAACAAGCAAACT